ACTAAAAAGAAAAAAATATGGCAAGAACAAACATCAAAGCTTATCAAACAAAAAGGCAAACAGGTAAACCCTACAACGGCAGGCTAAAACAATGGTCCCAAATTAAACTGTAAGTGGGTATGGAACACCAAACATTATCAAGTTTTGATCATATAAATACGGAAGGTAGGAAAAAAGAAAATCGTACATTAAACTGAAGCAAATACACGCAATACTATTGCTATTGTTAGACAGAAGATTTGGTGAACTTGAAAGGAGAACGTGTCGTAGCATCACTATAAGCAAAATATTGGTCTCTCTTTACTTTCACTGCAGGAGCATTGTTTGAAACAGAAGATGAAGAAAAAACAATGCTCTAGAATGGTGTGGTGAATAAAACTAAACATCGTGCGTAGTCTACCAGCAGCAGTTCAAAGAAAGCGATACTTGTGAAGAAGCATGTAACCACGAGAAGATAGCTGAGAGAAAAACTAATCGTCAAATATGCCATGAACAGTGATTGTTTAAAAAACAGTAGCTAAGAGAAATTGATAATATTGCAGATGCGCAGGTATGCAGAAAAGAAATGACATTAAATAGAAAATGAAAAGCAACTCACATTTGTGTGGAAAACATGAGTACAGTTTAACGTGTACGTCGCCTGGGATCGTAGTGGCTTTCCACACAGAGAACAACCGTCGTCCGTATTCGTAACATAATTGTCTTGCAAAACGGTACCACTACCGCTCATTTCGAATGAGTTGTGCACGGAATTACTTTGAGGATTCCACAGTCCCTAAAAGGTTCGTAGTCACTGAATGAAGTACAGAAGCAGCCCCATAACGGCAATGCGAACTTAATAATAAATCAAAAAAAGCGATAGTAGACAGTTAAAAAGTTGTTTTAGAGAAAAGGCAAATACTTGATGCTGTCTCGGGCTTCCTCCCCCTTGCGATCGAGAGTTTGGCCTGATTCCCGGCGCAAGAGGATCGCTGCCACTCGATGATGAGCTACCGCCGCCGGCAGGCGTCGCGATTTGCTGGTATCCCCAGCCGAGCCACTGGCCAGCAGAAGAAACGTGTTGAGTTCCTGAGTTGACCGCTTTCGAAGGAGGAGGCTTCTGAGAAAAGTAAGATGGCATCGGCGCGCCCATTCCTCCGGTGAAGCCGTCGAACATCCCACCTACCATGTTCTTACCGCCGAACAGCGTCTGCGTGATGCCGATCAACGGATCAGACCACGGTGTGAAGTCAGCTCGATGCGAACATTCGAAACGGGAAACTGCACCAATGGGGCCCAAATGAACCTGCCCGCCCCCAGCTGTCACCGATGATAGCTGACTCGTATCGTAACTGACAGTGGAAACAGCCGTGCTTCCATTGGCTACTTTCTGGTCGTAAGGCATGTTGTTGACTTGACCGTTTGGCAAAGGATTAGACTGTGAGAAAGCACGTTTTGAGCTTACATGGCCACCACTAACGCTATCGGTACTGGAATTGCTGTTCACTGGGACGGACTTCGTCGATGACGCCGGATTGACGCCGATTGGAGCCAAAGGCTGCCGCTGCTCTGGAGGCTGAAACAGTACGTGCACTTCCCAACATAAAGCAATCAATATTCTAGCAAATACTTAATACCTAGCAGACCCACTACCATCCCTGAGCAACAACCTTCAATAAGAAAACTCGTTTCGATAGTGCCTCCTTTAAAAATGACATACGGAAATGATCTATACAGCCAGCAGGTTTAATGCTGACTTCAAATAACGACTTTTAAAAAAATTCAGATTTTTTTCAGCCATTAGAGCAGCTGATGTTCCGGTCCACAAGAAACAGGCAGACTGAAAATTTTCCACCTCAGAAGCAATCGTTCGTGCAGGTAGACAGATCAGTTACCACAACCGAGACTATTACCAATTATAACAAATTACCCTTCTAATCTATCAATGCGAAAACAACATAAAAACTAAAATTACCAAAAATGGAGAAGAGCACTTGATGGTCTACAAAAGCAGCTGCTCTGAGTTTAAACGGAACAATAAATTATAGTGATATTCATGACTGATATAGCCCAACATATTTCAACTACAAAAAAGACGCACCTGTACTTGAAGCATAATCTTTGGCGGCGGTGGAGGAGGTGGGGGTCGAGAAACCTCCAGATGTGGCAAACTACTTAGAGGTGTTCCGTTCCTTATGGCTTCTACTTGTTTTCCGAACTCGTTCTGAAATCGAAAATTATCAGCTGAACAACATCAACAGAGTAGCAAAAATTACTTTGGTATTATTTATTATTTCCTGTATGACTTCCTTCGTTTTCATCCACTGCTGCGCGTAAGCATTCGTGGCTTTAAGCTCTTCGGATGACTGTGATCTCGAATATCTTCAACCAAAAAGACAATAAAGATACCAACAAAGCGCTACATAAAGAACATTGATCGCACACCTTTTCAAATTCTCTTCAAGCGTCAAGACCTGATTCTGACAGTCGTCGGAAGCCCGTTGCAATAATTTAAGACCCATATCCAGGCGAAAATCGAGCAAATTTATCTAGAACACAGCTTGAACACAAAGAGAAAAAATTAAACATAAAACGAAAAAGGCTATCATGTTTTCTGACCAACCGTCATCCTCAAAACTCGCTATCGAAAAAGCTTCATGATCACTACTGATATGTTCTACCCGGCACTAATATAGCAATAAACTTGACTTGACTATATCTTATACCATACATCATATACCACGGTAATTAACACCATTGCTTCGCTGTAAATACCTGCACAATTTTCAAACAATACAATTTTTAAATAGAAACAGAGATGCAGAAAATTATAACTATTCAGATACAAGATAATCGAAAGCTGTACCTCTGCTTTTTTCGCTCTTTCGTTCAGCTCTTTCAGCGATAACTGTGCCTGACTACGTTCCTGCTTCATATCCTTTTCTAGTTTGCGTATCTGTAGTGCTTTTTCCTCCATTTGAAGATGCAATCTTAACAAACAAAATTAAGAGAGAAACAATTTTGTAAAACTTCACCTTTCCGCCTCGCTGCTGGCGAAATTAAGCTCCTGCTGCAGAGATTTTTTCGCCTCGTTACATCGTTGATTTTCATCGAGCCATCGCTGTTTTTCCTCGCTGTGTTTCGTCTTCAGATTCTGCAACTCTCTTTCAAGAGTCTCAATTTTATTATTCAGTTCCATGTTTTCAGCCGACGACATGCATTCCACTTTCAGCTTCTTCTCCAGTCGCTTAATCTCACTTTTTCTCTCCTTCAGCTGTGTGTTAAGCCTAAATTCAGACGTTGATTAAACATATACTTAAAACTTTAAAATGAATGACAAATGACTTTTCAAATCTTTCATTCGCCTGGTCCAACTGCAGCTTCAATTGCTTGTTAGCTTTGATCAACTTTTGCTCCTCTCGGTAATGCCGGTCACATTCGTCTGCCAGTTCTTTACGACATGTCATTGTCTGTCGTTCGATATCCTGAAATCGTTAAAATAAAACATGAACCATTTTTGCGTATTTCCCCAGAACGCAATTTATAAACGGAAATCAATTCAAAACCAAAAATTCATGCATTAATGCAAAAAACTTTCTTGAAGAAATTTACTTCTTCCAAAATAGTCTTTAACTAGAACTAGCTGGAATGATGCTCAAAGATAAAATCTGTTTCTTTCGAAACTCTCAGAAGTGCAACCATTTTGAAGAATAAACACAAGCACCAATTTATTTGGTATTTATCGAACGATTTTGAACGAATAATAACGGAATAAATTTACAGCGCTACATTAAAAAACTGAAAATATCTAGTGGAATTAATGCATCTGCCAAAGGCGACTGTGTCCTGGGACTGAGACTTTTTGCAGCAAAACTTCATCTTGACCACTTCTGAAGAAATCTGTGAAGAGTAAACTATTCTAACTAAACTATTCACGGCGACTGATAACCAGAATAAAGGCTGGTACTGAATCTACGACGCGAGGCATGCAATACGTAAATATTTGCCTCACAACGCTTGTAAAGCCAATAAAGCAACACTATACCAATGGTTCCGCAACATCCATAGTAAACTCATGCTGTTTTACTTTGTTATATACCGTTTCAAAGGCGTTCTGTTCATTACCACAGGTCAAGCAGTGACTTTCAGAAATGACGCGTTTAAAATGCCGATTCTTTGAGATCGAAAATGCACCTTCAGTCCCTGACAAATGATGTCTAACCAAAGACGTTACATTTCTCGAGAAGAAAACTTCTGAGCAATTCTGTGAACTTATTTTAAAGACAGGCAAACAACCTTTCAGCCAGTATCCATGGGGTCTTCTTTCAAGATAAAACTGGCTCCAATGCGTAAGAAAACACCCCGTCCTTAGATTATATTTAAAAATGCTTTTCATCTGCAACAAGCATAATCCACTGTCTTTGAAAATGGAATTTATTTCATGAAATTATAAAGAAGTAAATACCTGGTGCCAATACAAATGAATAAGAGTGCGGGAGTGGGCAGCTGGAAAAATTTGAAAGAAAAGAATACTCTGTGCAGTAACAAAATTATTCACCTTAAAAGCAGCTGCCTCATAAAACAAGCAATTACATCAGGAAGTTCATCATAGAAAAAATTAACTTACTAAATAATGCTAAGCTGCTCAAAATTCAATGCAATTTGCATATTCCCTTGATACAGTATAAATTCAAAGATTCAAAATTTTGTTTTCCCGTTGACATTTACTCAATCCTATAACATTTTAACATGAAAAGAAATACGAATTCCAAACAGGCAGAAAAAACTGTCACGATTTTCATCAACAAATGCTCAAAAAACTGCGCATGTCAAAAGAACGTTAAATGCTTCAGAGAATGTCAGCTGCTAATTACAACTAACAAAGAGAAGGAAAACAAAAAAGTTTAGGTGCGAATCAAACAAAAAGTTGATTCTCCGAATAGAAAGTCCACTTGCACAGCGTTTGAGTATCCGTCATAGCGCCTCTACCTCTCAGATCTCACCAAGCGACACTACATTTCTAACCTCTTCCCAAGAATTATTCCCGATCACCGTCTCAGTCATTAATAATGCAATTAACTGGCCTGATAATCTCTTGGAACATGACGAAAGTACAGAACCTAAAGAGACACGAATCCCAGGTGTTTCGTCTTAGTCTAACGGTCAGGGGCATTAAACGCCCTGCTTTAATGCACCGAAACACGGCCCATCTGATTTGTATTCTGCTACTGCATCAAACCTAGGATTAGGGGTTAAAAATAATGAGTCACCCTCAAACCTTCTGCATGAGGAGTTAGAGACGACTCTTAATATTTAATGGTACCAAATGCGACTATTGCAAAATTCACCGTACTGTCATCACAGACAAAGCTAGCAGCAGAAGAACAGCCGTTTGAGTTGAACCTTTGGAGTGGAACTGGCCCCTTCCTGACGATGGCTTAGAGACAGAAAACGCTCTCTTGAGCTAGTAAGCGATTACGAAAAACGTTAACAATCCCATTTACCAGAGGCGGCAGTGCGTCGGCCAGGCGATCTTAACGTTATAACGAACAACCGATTATGACCTCTGCTAAATTTTGTTTTCTTAGCACAAAGCTGAAATTGCAATGATTTATGCCTGAATCATACTAAACTGGTTCTCTACCCTCTCTAACTAGAACTACTACCACTGCCACTCATAGAGCATACCTTTAAAACCTAATAATTTACCGTTATCTGGCAAATTACAGTAAGTTACGAAACTACAGTAAGTTGACAAAGATCCCACATTACGCTATCTTATTAAAACAAGTATCCAGTATGCATCTTTCTCCGCATTTACAAAACACAACTGATAACTCACTTGTTTCAATGGCTTAAAAAAAAACTCTAGAATGCCAATGATAAACTGAATAGCACCATCCTTTGTGAAAAGATACAAAACAAAAAAACACCTATAAAAATCATATTTCATGCCATTTAAATAGTCTTATTACTCAACAGAACCTGGAACTTCAATGAAAAAATTTTCTCTTCGTCTGAATGCAAGAAAGCCTAATTTAGTTGGTGAATTCAAATTTCTGGACGGCAATATCTAATGTTCTAACTAGCTGCACTCTGAACAGAGCAACGTAAAGAAAACAATTCACCCAAAACGAATATTTTGGTTCAGTTGAATATGAACAGATCTAACCTTCATGCGCTTTTCAACCTTTTTAACAGTTTCTGCAAGACGATTCGCCTCCGACTGCTCGATTAGCTGGCTGTATTTGCTGACTAATTCCTCAGTTTTGTTTTCGACCAACTCCTTGGCGTGTTTCAGAATAGAACAGTCGTCTTCGTTAACTGGAGATGGAGTCCTAGGCGTGTAGCTCAGATCCGTTTGCACGAACTGCTGCTGCTTTTGCCAGTTCAAGTCACATGCAACTCTTTCCTCGTCCGAAGTCTGTTTGCAGTTCTTAATGCTTGGTGGCAACAGTGCCTGAACACCAGCAACAGGCAGAGCCGGTACCACGGGCAGCTCTGTCGCCTCAGAATTCTTGTCCACGCCAGGAACGGCCTGTTCCTCGACCGGCGACGTAGGGAGAGATGCAGGTATTTCTACAACATCCGTTTTAATCGGGCTTTTCGATTTCAGCATGTTTAATTCCAGCTGAATGCTGTTCGACATCTCGCTTCCGCCTTGTGCCAAGGACACTAGGCGTTCAAGTGTGTCCTTGATGCTGCTCAGGTGTGTCTTGTTTTCCTCTGCAATATATTGGAAACGTTTACATTTAGAATCAATGTTTAAAGTAGGCGTAGCTTTACCACCCTGCTGCATTTGCTGGCAATGGTGACGGCGTATCTCCGCATTGAACTGGAGGCGTGATTCTTTGCAACAAGACGCCACAGATTTAGCCACTGGTACGATCGGCGATGTCAGTCGTTGAACATGTGCATCGCCGGCACCCACTGGTGGGATTAGGCCACTCTGCTTCGTGGCTGGTAGAATTGAGTTGGGTGGAGGTGGTGGATTACTGCTTGCATCCGTCTGACATGAGATCTCTTGTGTTTCTATGACTTCGAGTGGTGTATCATGGGACATGTTTTCGAGTCTCTCGAACAAACAGCTGTCACACACTTCATCGATATCTTCATAGTCGCTATCCTCAGATTCATCTGAGCAACTCGCTTCTGCCTCTTCAAGTTCCACAATCTCGTGAAACTCTTTTCTCGAAACATTTGAAACCAGTTCCTTGACAATACTGTTGACAATAGGCTTTTCAGGACTACTGTCATCATCTATAACCGGGGTGTCATTTTCTTGGTTTTCTTCCAGTTCACGGTTTTTAACTTCTGTAGTAGTATCGGTTGTAGCACTTGGGCTTTTATTGACAGCGCCATTTGAGGCAATTGATTTGTTCCCATTTTTTTCTTTTGGGCTCTTGATCACACCGTTCTTTGCATTTGCACAACCGGAAATCGCCTGTTTAAGATATATGTTACTGCTTTCGTTATTTTCGTGATTTTTGTCTAAAAACAACAGCCAGCATAAGAAAGCATAAATCAGTAGCCCATCTCCATTAAATTAGTAACCTACCTTCTCTCTCTATTCTCTCAATAGACTGCTTCACCTTCTTCTCGATCAGCCTAGACTTCTGCGCATTAAGTTCAGCTTTCATCTTCTCGTCTTTATCTTTGCAAAACTTCATCGCTGACTGATTCACCTCTAGCGCTTTGTCTATTAAACTTCTGCTACACTGTAAGTCTGCCAGTTTCATGTAATCCTGCAGCTTTTTACAAAACGCTTCGTGGGTTCTAAACGTTTGTGCATTAAAAAACAGTAACTTAAAGAAAATCTAAGAAATACAGGATTCCTTTTGGAGCATCCGCCTTCACATAAACTTCCAGAATAACACTTTCGTCTTTCATGTATCCCTGGTTTTCGTCCAGTATATCCTGAAAGTATACACTGCATACTATTATGATCAGCAAAGCAAACCAGAGCCTACCATCCAAGTCATGAAACAGCTATATCCCCAGTCGTTTTCTTTCGCCGTATAAACATGACTTGTTTTTCGAACAAAATTAGAAACGCACGGCTTTTGTGAGACAAGTCTCAATTCGGCGGCAGCTTGACATGACCAAGAACTAAACAAAAAATTGCAAAAAAATAACTTTCAGCAAATCACTTACTCAGAATAAGATTCTGGACAGCACTGAAGAAAAAAACCTAAGCACTTCTGAGTTCCTTTCTTGGCAACCACATGCTGCCGTGGCATAACCATAATTTTCCTATAAAGTAGATTTTAAAATAAAAATGAAGAGAAAACCTGATTAATCAGAAAGCATGCTAAGCATTACATTACTAAGCATAGGAATTAATATACTGAGGATGCATAACAATTTATTAAGCATATAAAAAATCTCAACAGAAAATTAAAACATTAGGTACTGCCAAAAAATCATAAACAGGAAACCTGGACTGCAGTTTCTAGGCAAAACAGATTTCAGCGCAAAACAGTCCACAAAATATTATCATACCCAGAAGTATTAAAGTAAATATGATTGCTAAATAGTAAATAATCTGACGATTACTTAAGTACAGAAATTTTCCTATTCACGAGAATAACTGGAAGGAGAAAAGTTTCGCTTTTCACTGTAATTTTCTGATACAAAGTCAACATCGTCGGCCCTGTAGGAGCAGGCGCTACACAAAAAGTCATAATCGGCGATACAATACAAGGATCCCTTCATTAAAAGACCAGGACAGGTTTGTGAGTTCTGGGACTACAATATAAACAGAGAAGTAGACAACATTTAGACATCATAGGAAGAGGCCATCCAGGCTGTGATAGTTACTGGCGAGATACATGGTCGAAATGCGTGAACCACCATTTGAGCTTTAACACTGGTCCAGAAATCAAGCAGTGGAGTATGGAAGTAGAAGAGGAGAGTGAATTCGATGAAGTGAAACAAGAAAACACTATGGAGCTGCTGGATCCACATATAAAATACTAATGAGGATCTCTTGCAGATGCAGTTATTACAAGAGCAACCAAGTTGCAAGAAATGTAAACTCAACCAGTAAAACAAGTAAAACAGACAACCATCAAAAAAATATCTGAAATTTTAGGCTGTTTGAGGGCATGGCAGTTCTGGCGAAAAATAGCTCAAAACGGGGTGCATCAATAAACGTAACTAATGACCGGTGATAATTGCAGCTGCCATGAAGAATTGCAGTACCAAGACAGAAAAACAGAAAACTATTATTGATACTTCCATCCCTGACGTGTTTATCCGTACATGAAAAACAACATATCCATATTTTACTTGCATTCCCTTTCTTTTATTCATTTCTCTAACATTTAATTAAATGAGGCTTAATTTGGGCTAGTATAAAAATTTGAAATCAGACACCGAGAAATACTGTCCATTGTAGAACTGACTCTACAGAAATCCAGGTGAATAATGTGGTATCGATATACGTCGATGTTTTCAGCAACATATCGCAAATGATACAAAAAGCAGCTACATATTAAACAAACGGTTCAGCATAACGTTAACTGCGTGTTCACAGCATTCTTTCTCACGACTTCTTCAAATGTGGAACCTCGTGTGGTCTCCTCCATCGTTCAAGACTTATTAGCCATTACCAATCAGCAATTCAAGTGAACTCAGCTAAGCTGGCTGCAGCATTTTTTTGACACATGAGCTGCATACCTTAACCTTAATCGTCGTTCAAATGGCCATTTCAGATAAGATATCTTCATGATTTTCCTGCTGCCTATCCGCATACATCACAGTATTGTTGAAATATACTGTTGATTTTCATTTCCAATAAGGATTCTTCTTGCGATCTGCGGACAAACGGAGAAACACTTAAATAATTCGCGACATTCACGTACATATCTGGGATCGTGTTTACGGGCAACAGAAAATGGTACGAATAGATCCACCGGAGAATTGCAATGGCCAGCGGCATTCTACATGATCTAGCTCGAATCGCTGTGACTAACTCAGAGATGAGTCCAAAAATTATGCTATGTTCCAAATCGTTCTTTATCCCGATGCGCACCTATGGTGTGAGTCGTGGGCGAGGACCGAAAGTGATTCAGGGTACAAGCGTCTCAAATGGACTTTCTGCGAAGAATCGCTGCGCACAGGCATCTCAGCATGGTGCAGAGTACAGACGCGAAAGAGACCCATGGCATACAACAGCTGTTTCTTCAGTTTGAGAAGCCACATTTGCGACGTTTGGGCACGCCTTTCCAATGCTTATAGAAATGAAGGCGAAACAGCTGCTACTTGACCAACCAACTGGCCGAAGACCCTGGGGACGAGAAAGAGTAACCTGGGACAAGTATCTCGACACATTCTGCTCTAGACTCGGGTTACCTTTTGCCGAAGCTCAAACAGTTCCTGGAACAGGGTTGGAAAGTCTCTAACACTTCAGTCTCCGCGGCCCGAAAGGATCTCAGCGATCATCGAAACTGACTGTCTAACTGATAAGGTTTCTTCTTCCTAAAACAGAAATTGCCAAGCTAACTTCTGTACTGCGCTGAATTTTTAAGTGATCCAAAAGATGTTATGTTTATTTGTTGTGCTTGCCGAAAACGGCAATAGTCGGTCGCAAGCTCGACTGGGTTGGCATATCATACTATTCGCCCTTTTACTGTTTATTCTCTTTAGCTAATGATTCAAAACGCTGGATAGGATATGGCCCCAAAGAGAACTTTCTTCTCCTGGCTACATTAATTCTGTCCAAACGGCGGGATATGGCAGTTCCTCCACCTTCGATCCAAACTTTGTATTCTCCTTTGACTTTTATTTGTTTCATAAATTTCTAGTTGTTTTTTGTGTTGAAAAGCAAGATCCTCATAGAGACCTTTCACTATGTTCACCATACCAAACTTTTATTTGCAAATGACGAATCGTTTTCCTAATTGAAAGACTGCAATCTCCTGCATTATCGGCAGATTATTTTTTTGTACTACAACTGATTGCAGATGTTTTTGCCAGGACGAACAACTGACCGCCTCAAGTTAAAAGAATTACATGTCTCAATGGCCAAAAAAACTTTGCACACTCCGTCTGGGTCGCTCTCAACTTTCGTGACTCAATACGTTTAAATTTAACAAAAAATAACTACAGGATACTACTTCATCTCGTCATGAGGGTGAATATTCTACATTACACGAATCTTCAAACAGACTACCCCATTGCAACAATCATGAAAACACGATTCCCACTACATTACCGTATACAGACTATCTTTGGAAAACTACTGTTACAAAAGCTGAATTATACGACGACTACCAAAACGAATAAGAGGAGCTGAATTTATAAGGAAATATCAGAAAACAAACACTGGTACTGAAGCTTAAACAAAAATCTTATATGCGTAAAATTTTTTTAAGCCAATATGGTCTTTCTTAACTTTGGGTTTAAATAAACCTGTCATGTGCCATCTTAACTGACAGGTGAACCCACAATTAACATTATGCAAATGGTCAAATGGTAAGAGTTTGATTAAATCACACTAGAAATGTTTTCAATTTAGAGCAAAGTAATCAGAGTGGCCAACTTACCAAGGCACGCCGCTTACAAGTTTAGGAGGACCACGGACAGTATCATTCATGTTTCTAAAATTATGGATCATCAGTCGTAAAGTCCCTTCCGATCGCTGTGTGTCTTCCACTAAAATGTGTGGTATGAATCAGTGAAGAAAGCAAACCGTCGAATTTATTAACGATGTACCATCCTTCTTGGACGAAGCCTGAGAAGCAGCCATCCGGAATGCGCCCATACTAGTTTTCTCTGTTAATATACTTTGACCTAAATAATTTCAAAATTATGTACCTAGATGGAACAAATATAATAAATACTTGGTATTAGCCACCCTGATTCTACGTCTTCGGTCTGACAAGCTACGTTTAAACGAACGGACTTCAAAGATTTATGCCCGTGCTCGCAGCAAAGTCTCTCTAAATTATTCAGATAAAAAGGAAATCTGCAATATTCAAATTTAAAAAAATTAACAAAAAACAAAGAAAGACAATCGGTTTCATTGATAATTGACATTCTGAAGCAAATAAGAAACGGAATGTTCATCCAACATCCGTTAAAAGGGCTAAAACTAAAGTATCTGAATCGAAAAGTACATCCTTTAAACAAATATAGCAAGTTTTTACACAAATTTAACTCTGATATTAAAATAAGGTCAAATAGAAGGCGAGTCAAAGCGCAGTGCGAAAATTTAAAAAGGAAGCACTAACCATAACCAGCAGAATATAGTGCCCCAGCAACATCTAAGAAATTCTTACCCCTTGGAAATCTGATAACAAACGGGATCAATGAACCAAATACGTACAAAACAACAAGTCAAACGTCGCTATCTATGGAAACTCAATCCAACATTCGGCATCTCTATCATGAAAACAAACGCCTAATGTACGCACACCGTTTATATTCTAAACATTGCCAAATAATGTCAAAACAAATTCGAATACCCGTCCACAAAGCTACCTCAGCTGCTATAATCAATGGCTAACAGTTGAAATTAAGAGGTGAAGGTTTCGAAAAATGAACATTACTAACAGAAAATGTTAGAAAAGCCTGCACCTCAGCGCAGCTGAAA